CCCTATAGTGCGCTACTAGGCCAATTATCTTTCGATGGTTATATATAGACAAATTATAACTTATCAGTTAAGTATTTTCTARATATTATCTGGAGGGCCCCTCCCTAGGCTTGTATTTTTCTCCAAAAACAGTTTTGAATTGATCGATTGTCTTAATAGTGGCAAAAATAACAATTAACTTATTTATTTAAGTACACAATATGTATTTAACAAAATATACAAGTATAGTGTTCCATGATTATTCGTTTTTCATGTTGAGTAACGAGTAACATTAATATGTAGAAACGCGTTTAGCAATTCGATTGAAAAATATAGATAAATAAAAAACCGTATTATAGAATAACTCGTTAAGTATAATTAAATCATTTTGATTTTAATCAGGTTTGATTCACAAAAATATTCAGTTAAACAGAACATGTCGTTAAATAGAAATTTCGCTGTATACAATCAAAACTCATTTGTAAGACAGCATTATTGAGAAATAAATAGTAAGACTTATACGTATCGTATATGAGTTGTAATAATTAATAACATAACAATGCCCATAAATGATTAATTTGAAAAATATTTAAATGTTATATTTACACTGAATTTAAATTTATATTTTTCTTTGAAGTTTTAAATTCTAACATCTTTGATTATTTKAATCAAACATATGAAAAATAATAAAATTATAATTATCTTTATCCTAGGTCAGGTTAATACATCTGAAATMAATTTAATAACATAATTTATTTCAACCAACGTAAGTAATAATGCCATCACATTCTAATATTCTATGATATTATAATATATGTACATTATACAGTTAAAAATTGTTATAGTTTAATGAACACAATATAAACATATTACACATAAATTTGATCTAATAATTGATAGAATATTTGACATTCAGTGGCGATGATATGGTGTATAAGTAAATTAATAAAATAATTTTTAGTATAGCAGTTGATCATCGAATATTAGGTATTTTATTATATATTATTATGTTTAAGTACTTATATTATTTCCGACAATCAGCATAATGAATTAATTTTCACTCAATGTATGTATGTACGCAGTGGCATACTCCCACCATCTACATTTTCTCTCTGATAAATTAATTATTTATAGACGAAAACTATAAAAAAAACTTGGTTATATTATCCTTAACCCCCTCCGTAATTTCATAATCCTGTAGACTACGCCACTGTACTTAAAAATATAGAATAGTCATATATTTTTTATGCTCAATAATGCATTTAATTTTATAATATTTAAACGAGTACCTACAATTAATAGCTATTTGAATTGCAACGTTGTGAAAAATAAAATAAGTTTGATAATAAAGATATGCACATGTGTAAAATCCTTTCACTGTTAGTATTTGTTTTGGTATTCCAAAATTGGAAATGTTTATTTTTCACGCTCTTGTTAAGTCAAATAACATGATTAACAATATTTGCTTTTTAACTTGCCGAAGTATCAATACCACTTATGTTGACACGTATTTGTTTGATCGAACTCAATCAAAAATAATAAAATTAACCATATATTAGAATATTGATAATTTTGAGTGAACCAAATTAAACTACAAATAATGCTTTACTAATATTTTGCTACTCTTTGATCGAACATTTATGTATTTACATCGTAAAATGTGACCATGGATTTAATAATATACTTTCTGTAAGTTAAAAAAAAATTTCAGACTTGAACTTTTGTTGTTTTTTAAAAAAAATAAAAAATGCACTAAAATCTTGTTATCTTATTTATATATTAGATTTGTGTATTTCACACGTTCACTTCACTTAGACTTCTGAACAGAATGCTCCGAACACCAAGGCGAATGTCATATTCGTATGACTCAATGACMTATAATGGTATGCACTAGCTGGTATGCGTTGCTCAACCATCGAAAAAAATAATGACACAAAATTGCGCTTAATCGTGTAAATTCCTAACTCAAAAAACTATTAGAGACATTCGCCAGCTGTTACTAGAGGATTTCCGTGACAACTCTGAGGAAATAATATATCTAGTACCTATACCAATCAAGATTTATCAAAAAAAAAATGTTCTGTCCAAAACAGTACCTAAGTATTTATAAATAAAATATATAAATGCGTATGATTATAAAAACGTAATAATTGTATATACAAATAGTAAGGTACCCATAGGCACAAATCTATACTTAATACTCGCAGCTAGGGGGTGCTCAAATCCCTCCAAAATCAACTTATCAGCGACACGTAAGGGGCTAAGTCCCTCACACTCACCAAAAGTCACAAATAAACTAAAAATCTTTAAAACAAATATAATAATAAGAAAGAACATAATTATTGGATTAAATATGTAGAAAATGTTACTATAAATTATAATTTTTTTTTAAATAAATAAGCCTTAACGTATATGACCATTGCCCATTGGCATACAAGAAGTTTAAGGTCAACAATTTATAAATTATAATGTAATAATAATTAATGTGCATTTAAACAAACTATCATTTAAAAAAAAGTCTGTATATCTACATAAAACATAAATCAATAAATACATTTAATGTGACATGGGTACTTATTTTTGAAAATATTTTAAGAATTCAAAGTATTAAAAATGATATGAATATTGAATATATAATATAACAGGGGTGGCTAACGGTTTTTGGATCTAGTGCCAAATTTTTGGAATCAAGGGTTTGGCAATTTTTCTCTTATCCAAAGTTTGTAAAGACTAAATAAAGCATAATTAATATAATGATAATATAGTAACATAATTATTTTTACATAATATAGGAATATTATGACTTTTAAAATGTTATTATTTATTCATTTGAATTTTTTTTCAAACAAAATTTTAAGAAAAGCATAATTTTTCTCAATTTTTAACTTTCCGCGTGCCATTGATATTTGACGAACGTGCCACTTTTGGCACGCGTGGCGTGGGTTCACCACAACTGTAATATAACATGATACTCGTATAAATTATTATATTTAATATGGGATACTAATTTTGATTTTAAGCACCCTTAACTTAACATCATACCCGTGATTTGCACGTATATTTAGTGCCTATCTTTGCAATATGAACAATTATGACTTAAAGTTGTAAACAAGGCAAAGCAACAAATAAATTGGTAGGGATGATTTTCAATACATTAGATAATATTTGATAGTAATTATTAATTGTAAAGTTATGAAATGTACATCATTTTGTTTACATAATATATTATAAGACGCTTCCATGCTGTATAGTATAATAGGTTCACTCGTATAACAATTTAAAAATTTAAACAACGCTGTATATATTATGGCCATGGGTCTTTAATCTTTTATCTTTAATCTTAATACAAGTTTAATTAACAGTCTTACAAAAAAATTGATGGAATAAAAGYACTTTCGGTAAAACTCTCCGAATGAAAGGTACCTAATATTATTTTTATTACATAATGACAGCGTCGAACAATAATTTAATTGTTGAAACATAACACGATTATCGAACCAATATAATGGTATATAATATTTTATAATCATAACCGGAATAAATTCGTAGCGTCCCAAAATCAGTTTATCGTAACTATATAAATAAGTTTTAGCCCGCGGGCAGGTGATTTTTTATACATAGGTATTTAAATACCTACGTAAAATATTGGACCGTGATTTAATTTCCAATATTTTCCATCTCAACAATTTTATTAGTTTAAGACCCGGACACGGATTCTGCATGCACGATACGTTTGAGTTATACATTTAGTCACTTAGATACCTGAAGTGGTTTTTCGTAACGAATCAAACGAAATTAACGAYTTTAGATGCGATGCGGCGCAACGGTGCGTTACGGTGCCAATCACTCAGTAATATAATAATTAACATATTTTAAATAATTGTTTTAAATCTTTAAGACAATTAAATAAAAATGAATCATTGCGATATTATCCCTGTCCTAGAACAAAACTAATGATTATAAGTATAAAATATAAAATGATAACGTCTATTAATTATTGCATATTATTTTAACCTGCAAGTTTTATTAGTCAAGTTAATTAC